TGAAATATGTACTTTTGTGTTAGTTAGTAATACACATTTAACTGTATCTACATCAACTTATTTGGAAAGACGATTTTTCATGGTTTCAGGTGGATCTGTGAAGTCAGACTGCTAGATTCTAATATTTGCTTTGTCACTTGGCATCTGAGTAAAGTTGGCATTATGATTTGGATATAAGGTGCCCCCCCATTCCTATTAATGCAGTAGGTGAAATGATCAGATTATGAGAGTGGTAACCTAATCAGTGGTTGAATCCATTTGATGGATTAATAATTTTGCAAGGACTACTGTACTAGGTGGTAATTACATTAGGTGGGGGATGGCTTGAGGAGGTAAGTCACTTGAGGGCATGCCCTTGGGGATTATGTCTTGTCCCCCTGGCTCCTCCTTCTCATTTACTGCTTCCTGGCTGACAGGAGGTGAATAGCTTTCTGCCGTCAATCCCTTCTGCCATGATGTTCTGCCTCACCTTATGTCCAGGGACATGGAACCAGCTGACCATGGACTGAACCTCTGAAACTATGAGCCAAAATAAAATTTTCCTCCTCTATGTTGTTCTTATTGGATATTTTGGTCCCAGTGATGAAAAGCTGACTSAAACAGCTGCACAAATTATTTAACCTTTTTAGTTGCCTTGATTTTCTTATGTGGTCACATGGTGATAGTAATACAGCATTTCTCTCTTAGTTCTTATAAAACACTCAAAATAGTTTGGGGCACATAATCACCTTTTGGTAAATATTAGTTTAATATTTATAATATGAATGTCATTTTTGTTATCATTATTATATTTCTCTGATCCTTTGTTTCCTCATTAGTGAAATACATGGTTAGACTAAAGATTTATTTCTAGGAAATCTAGGATCTTGACATTTCATGATTCTGATTGTCTATATATACTTTGATGTCTTTAGGCATTTATTGTCTTAAAATCATCAGAAGGGAACAATGAGTCACATTTCAAAATGTTCATTATATTAATCATACCGTGAATTTCAGACTGTCCCTGTAGCCACCAAATATCACAGCTGGAAGGAACCTGAGGGAGGTCGGGGGAGATACAGAGAGACAGACAGATGCATGTGTGCATGTGCACACCCCCACCCCCACMCCTCTCACTAAATTAGAGAGGCCATGTCTCGGAACAAAAATAAAAAGGACTGGGGATGTAGTTCAGTATGAGAGTGCCCCTGGATTCCGTCCTCCATTGGGGAGGGGGCTCAGGAGTTTCTAAATGGCGTTCCTTATCCTGCAGTGTCCTGCAAAATAATATTCCTAAGGGGAAAAAAATGCACGTCTGAGTCCCAGGGTTAGTTTAAGATTGCAGAGATGCCAAGTGGATCCTTTTCCCCTTGACTGGAGAAAGAAGAAGAAACAAAAAATAGCTATACAATGAGATCAAAGGAGGATTTGTGTGATGGTGAAATGATGTTATTACCTTATTAGAATAATTGAGTTCCCTTTCATATTCTCTTCCAGTGCTTCCTCTTTAAAGAGAGAACTATTAAGGAGAATCAATAATATTGTAGAAAAAATGCTTATTTTCTAAAATATAGCTTGACCAGAGAGGACCATTTACTCATAAAACATAATGAGACCATTCTGAATTTCAGTGTTTGACCTGTCATCTTTTCCTTGTATCTGTGGACTATGTTACAGAGTCCCTGCGTAATTGGCAGTCCATTTCATTTCCAAATGATTAGTCAACTATTCACACTTTTCACAAGAATTGGATACCTAGGATCTGCAGTCAGATCTAGGTCTTATAAAGGAAAATGAGAGTAAGATAAGTGTGAAAAGATAATTTCCTTTGTCCTTCTAGGGTAATGTATAGGAGATGTACCTATCAGAATAATAAGAGTTCAGGATTTCTATGTCTGGAATGTGTACCTGTAAAATATAGATGTGTGCCTGGTTTGGCATCCCATAACACCCTTTTCCAGCTCTTGTGGGACAGAAAATATTGGAAAATCTGTCTTCCTGCCACATCAGTTTTTTGTATTCAAGTCATTTTAAGCCTGATTTGAGTCATTTCAGGACCAACATGGGCCCCTCACACATTGTCCCAACGGTCTTCAGCCTTCGCTATTCTCACTGTGACCATTTCTTGGAGTCTCTCAGTGGCAGGCTCAAAGCCAGCCAGTATCTCTTTCGTGTTCCCACCAGGGCTCCTCTTGTCCCTAACTGTGCAGTCCTGAGCCCACTCTCTGCCCCCTGGCTCATGGTAGGACCACTCCTCCTCCTCATGAAGCCCCACGCACACTTTAGCTCCTGCTTTGCCTCCCTCCTGGTAACAGCTGAAGAGACTCTAGGGTAGCAGGTGACAGTAGCTAATCCGTCCACTGAGTGCTTTCTTGGCCTTCTCCCTAGACAACTGCTCAGATCTGAGAAAACCCCTTCTCACCCCAGCATGTCAGAATCCAGCAGCTAGCTGCTAATTGCCGCTCCAGCCACTCACAGACCATCTGCCAGGCTCTGGAATTCAGTCATGTAGAATATTCTGTACACTGACCATGGCATCCCTTTATGGAGTAGGATTTCTKTTAGTGACATTGATTCAGAGACATTAATTCAAGGATAAAGTGATAGTACCCCTTGAAAAAATTAAAGGTGATATAAAAAGGCGTGGTGTTTGCCTCTAAACAGATAAGATTTGGGTTTGGAGGAGGAAGTATATAAGATAAACAGAACTTTCAGTTTTTGTTTTTATTTTAAAGGAACTAGGTTCCATGATCAGTGTTCCTTGACTCTGATCTTCTTGGAAATGGACTCTTACTGTGCTCTTCAACATATCTGAGAGGCTCACTGTGTGGAGTAGGAATTTAGATGGCCTGCATTTGGATTCTGGTTTTGACAGTTGTCAGTTATGTGATCTTATACCAGAAATGYGCCAGAGTCTCATTCTTCTTATCTCCAAAATGGAGACTGATATTGGTACTAACCTCCAAGAGTTACAAAAATTAAAGAATGATGCCTGTAGCACTTAGAACAATTTCTGACACAGACTAAGCCTTCAACATGTGTCAGAACTTCATAAATTGTTTAGAATGTTATTATTACCATTATCAACACCTTTACAAAAGAAATTAATTTTTAGTAAAGAAGCAGAATTTTTTTAAACATACTTGTTTAATTCCACCTGTAAACCGAATTTGTACTTACAGTTTTTAAAATGCTGTTTGTTACCACATATGTAATGCAGAAAAAGATAAATGTTCTGGTTGCTTTATTTCCTCCTTTGTATAATTTTTTATGATASCTCATAAGTATCTGTAGACACAAAAGTTAGGTTTTTTTTCCTGTGTAGTTTGTTTTGTGTAATTCTGTGTATTATGGATCAGGATTTGCTCAAACTAAACTCAAAAACAAAGTTGAGAACTAGGCTGTGATTGTTAAAAATGCTAAGAAAAAAAATTTTTCCCCAGTCCTGTAAGTATCCTGGAAGATTGTGAATGGAAAATAAGAGTCTATTTTTAAAAAAAATTATTTACTCTACATTCATGATTCAAATTGTACACACTAATTTTGCCTGACTTTGCTGTAAACAACCTCAGGTAATTTGAGTAGTCTTGGTACAGGAGTATTCTATTTATAACATATACTCTACTGTTTTCTGCTTGTCTTCACGGCCCTTGCTCCTTTCTTCCTGCTCTTACAGATCAGTAAATGACTCCTATGTGAGAGTTTGAGTGTCCTTGGTGGCCAGAAGTGAACCCCAGCATGGGTTTCCAGGCACTGAGGGACTGAACGAGAAGCAGCAGTAGAGGGCGCTGTGGCCTTCATTTCATAGGAATTGAGCTTGCACCAAACATCTTTCATTTGAGCAGCTAAAAACGAATTCCCCATATTAATTAAGTCTTGCTGAGGCCTTGTTTAGTGATCCAGTGCTAAGTGCCTGAAATAAGTATATCTTATTTTAATCTTGGGGAAACTGGGTATTAGGGAATTTCCTGAGACTCCATAGGAAGTGTCAGAATTTCAGTAAAATCCCACAGATTCTTCTCTTACCTTTCCATATTCTGGCTGATATCCCAAATGTCCCTTCATTTAGGAAGAGCTGGAAGGAAACCCCAGGAGTTTTAATTTCCTCTCGAATAGTTCCTTTAATGAAAGGAATATGAGATGTATGCTTAAATAAATTGGTTACTCACAACACTACCACCTACTTTAAAATTAATCCTTTTTATTAGACAGCTGTTCTATTGCTCTTTGCTTTTAACCAACAAAGACCCTTAAGAAAAGGAAAATGAAAAATAAATAGCATTCCTGGAATCCTACAGCCTGGTGCAGGCAGATCATATTCTGTGTGATCTTGTTCCCTCATATTATGTGGTGATTAGAGTAGGGCTTCAATCAGCTGGAGGATTCCCCAAGGCAGGGTCTCATCCCACCAGTGCATGTGGCACGCCCCGTCTGACACCAGGGCAACTTGAGAATTGAGCCAGAGAAACTGCAGTGTGGTGCAGCAGATGCGCACTGGTGGTTGCCATGGAGATTGCTAATACTGCTGAAACTCAAAGAAAGGGCACTTGCCGCAGCTCAGGAGCCTGCCTGAAAATGAATGAGAAACAAGCAGAATTCAGAATAGGCCCTCAGCTACTTGTCCCACATGGAGTTTTAATTTCTCTTTCCTTTCCTTCCCTCTTCCTTTTTCAAAGATTAGATTGAAAACAAGGCAATGTTATAAAGCATGCTCAGACCCCTCCGACCTCACTGCAGACTGACATATCCCTGGGATAGCTGTATATTAATGACAATGCATGACTAATAGGATTGGGGTTGGGGGCTGGGGTGAGGCCTGTGTTGGCCCTTCTGGAGACTGTGGGCTGCTTGCCACTGGGGTTTAGTAGGTACCTTGGGATTTGTCTGCAGCATATGCGCTGCTGTTAATGATTGAAAAATTACCACAACAATTAGTCATGGATCGCTGAAGGCAGAGCCCCCAAATGTGATGGACAATGTGATTAAATCCATGTATGTGACAATTAACTCTCCTGCAGGTTTATCCACCAAGGAGAGTGCCCTCGGGGTGAGAGCAAAGGGGAATGAGAAGAAGGAAAATCAGGAGAACAAAAAGGAACAGGAGAGAATAATGCTGCAGAATGGGTCTGATACAGCTGGCACTGTTGGCTTTAATCTGATCCTGAATTAATCACAGTTTGATTAATCCTTGTTTTATCACACCTTTATATTGCCCATTTATTYATATCTTCCTTAATTTTATGGAGGCATGACTGATTAAATTCTGCCCATTTCATGTTTTTTAAATTTTGAAATCAGGTCTCTCCATTTAATGTGATGTTCTAGGTGGTCCAAAGTGCAATTATCTCGTAAATGCTAAGCAGGCACCAGACATAGCATGTCATGAATCCCCTTATGTATTACAGCTGAGTAATCCAGAATAAATATTTGTTTGTTCAATATTCTGCTGAAGCAAAAAGAAGCCTTGTGATCYCAATCTGCTTGTTTACTTGGGTGGAAAAAATAAGAATACATACACACCCAACTTTGTTAAGTAGGAGGGACACAAATTCAATTTGTGTCGCAGAAAACTTGGTGCACAAGGAAAAATAATATTATCATTTGGATGAACAGCCTGAAAATATATATCCATAACATAAAAGGATTCTGTTTACAGCCCATAGATAATGTTCATCTATAGAATTGTTTTTAACTAGTGCATACTGCTCTTATTTTTGTTTTAGGTGTTATTTTTGGTGTTCTCCATATTTGCATACAAAACATTGCATTCAAATAACGCCAGGGAGTTTGTGACACAAACTAGCACAAGYAAAGACTCATGCTTTGTATCCCACGCACTTTGGATGCACTGTGTGGGTGAAGAATTCCCCATTCCTAATTTATGAGAGGGTGACCAAAGCTTTATAAAACATTGATTAATGTGCACACCTGTAATCCCAGCTACTGAGGAGGTTGAGGCAGGAGGATTTTAAGTCTGAGATCAGCCCCAGCAAGCAAGACCCTGTTTGAATGAATGAATGAATGAATAAATGAATGAATGAATGAATGAATGAATGAATAAATAAATAAATAAATAAATAAATAAGAAGTTCTGGGGATATAGCTCAGTGGCAGAGTATACCTGGGTTCATAAGTGGGAACAATATTGAAATATATATGCATATATGATTTATCTTCTTTCAGAATTCCTTAAGCTATCCTGTTGCTCTTGTTGAAACTGAATTTGATATAAGAATCAGTTTTTTTATTTGCAGATTAATTTGGATTATCTTTGTTAACTTCCATTCCAGCTTGATCTACATATGAAGGTAGAGGATTTGTTTCTGATGTTGGCATAGTACAAGAAAAGACAAGAAAATAATGAGTGCCAGCAAAGATTTCACTGCATAGGTGGCACAAAATGGATGCTGCTCGGTGAGATTTCTCTRGAGACTTGCCTCCCTAACTGCTGATATCACCACTTTTTACAGTACTGAATAAGAAACCCAGTCTAGCTGCAGATGATTTGGGAACTTCAGTATCMCTCCCACTGACCTTGTTACCAAATGTTCTTCTATATGCCTCCCAATAACCAACCCTTCAGTTCTGCCTGGGATTAAGATGAAGAGTGGAAAACATTTCATTTGTGAAATATTCTTCATTACCTCCAAACTCAAGTAACTGCATACCTTTGAGCTACCATTACATTTCTCTATTTCCTGATGGCACATGCCACTGTCTGCCTGTGTTAGTATCTGCCAGACTTTAATGATCAGGACCACTCAACACTTTGTTCATTTGCTTGTTTGCTAATGCATTATTTAATTTTTATTTACTGAATAAGTAACATATACGGGGCAGTAAGCTTGGTACTTGGAGTGGAGAAGAAGACAGAAGATGGACACTTGTATTTCATGCTGAAGGAATATGCTGAAGGAATATTGCAGAAATCAGACAGACAAAMAGAGCTGTGTTCAAGGTGGAAATTGGCAGGTGCCATAAGGAGAAAAACGATATGAAAGGATAAGATTGTTAGTAGATAGGAGAAATGGCATCTTGACCAATTTGGGGGAAGATTTTGTGATATTTGACTTAAGTCTTTGAAGAGGGTCCTGATTTACTCATAGCCAATGGCCAGAGACTAAATTTCTTATTCTTGAAAAGAAGTATATAATGAGCACCAGCAAAGATTCCACTGCATAGGTGGCACAAAATGGATGCTGCACGTGCAAGAATGTGGCCTCGGCACTGCTGTGGACATGACCGAAAAAAAATTAATTGGAATGTATGATGTGGAGACAGCCATGGAGTCAGGTCTCAAAGGACTTGAAATGCTTARCTGAAGAGATTGGACTTAATTTCATTCCTCTGAAGTAAAGCTTTAGGTAGAATCCCACCTCCAGCCCACGGCCTTCAAGGCTCTATACAGTGGCCTCTGGCTCCTGCTCTGAGAGCATCGGCCACCCACGCCTTCCATGATTCCCAATAGTCACACTGTTTTCTGTTTCTTGAGCAGGCTGACCTTCTTTGGGCCAGAGTCTCTGTTTCTATCTGGCCTCTATAGCTGAGGCCCTCCTTCCCTACGTATTTGCATGAACACCACTTCTCATTACTCAGGTGCAATGCAGAGAGTCCCTCTTCCACAGGTGGCTTCTCTCCCGACCTCCAGTTTTCCTCTCTCCGTCCTGGACAAGGTGGTGTGCTGCCATGGACATTGGTGGTTGCTCCTTTGGTTTTGTTTCTCGTCTCATTTTCCTCAAGTGGCCGCTCTGATCCTGGAAACTCAAGGGAAGGTCTCTTATTCTTTGTTCAGGAGCAGATCATGATTAATCTAAGCACAGTAATTCTCTCCTTATCAGTGGTTGATTTGGTCATGGGCCCSTGACCCAACACTGGGCCAATAGGACACAAGAGGCAGTCATCCTGGGGCTTCTGGAAAGGTAGACTCACTTCTGAGAAAGTGCCACAGGGAAAGGTGACCTCTTCTTCATTCCCTAGAAGTTGAAAATCAGGAGATATTCGGATTTGCAGCCTAAGGATAAAGCCAGTGCCTGAGGAAGGCAGCCCCGGGAGGACTGCAAAGAGCCAGGCTCCTCATGGAGCCCGCCCAGAACCCTCTCCCAGTCTGTTTGTTTTCATAATCTGAATTTTTCTGCCTAAATCAAAAGCATTTGAATTGATTTTTAAGAAAATATTGCCCTGCTCTGTTTCCTTTGTTAATTATCAATCTGTGAATTATCCTATTTTTTAAAAAATTTCTATTTATTGTCTGTCTTCTTTACTAGAATTTAAGCTTCAGTTGGGCAAGCACTTATCCATCTGTTGACTCTTGAATCCACAACTTCTGGCATAGTGTGAAGGTGTGAGTCGGTGATCAGTAAACATGTAGTTGAGTGAACGAATGGAGTGACTGAGGGAGGTTAATGTGGCCTTGTATGAAATATCACAGGGGAGGCTGGAGAGAGCGGGTGGAAGGTCGTTGCTACTGCAGAGAAGTTCATAAARAGGCAGTAAAAATGGTGGGGGCCAGTGGAATGGGGAGAGGTCATGACAACTGAGGGAGCTGCAGCAGAGGGGAGCCGGGAGGAGAGCTGGGATTTACCACCGAGGCTGGTACCCATGGTTATGGAGAAGAATGGGGGATGTGGGAGGAAGAGCAGTTGCGATTTCTTGAAGAGAAGAGAATTTTTGAAATGTAGAACATCAGTTGCTGGTTACACATCAGCAGAGAGCTCTGGTTGCTAGTCGAAAATGCAGGAATGAAGATAGACCACTTTTACAGTCAGAAGGAAATATCCCTGTCTTTCTTTGTAGAGATAATTAGGCCTGGCAATGGATGCTTTTCTTTCCTGGTTATTACACATGACTTGAAAGCAGGGTCTGTATCCAATTCAACTTTAAATATATACTGAGCTCCTATTGCATGTGCCTATCCTAACACTTTATATAGTTTCATAATTAAGGCAAAACAAAAAATGAAGACCTAGACTGTCCTTGATTCTTACAGGGCTAAACAGACTTAATGTCTAAAGAGCTGCAGGAACTAGTTTCTGCACAGTGACAGTCCAGAACAGACCTCCTACAGATGCTCCCTATCTCATTACCTATCTTATTTTCTTCCTGACATTTATCACTTTCCTGAAATATCCCTTTTATCTTGTATCCATGAAAACAGGCCCCCTGGCTTSTCTTGCTTTAGTGTCTACAGAACATGTAATATAGTGATTCAGAACATGGGCTATGGAGTGAGACTGCCTGAGTTTGAATCTTATCTCACTAGCTGGTTGACCTTGGGCAAATTGTCTAACCTCTCTGAGCCTCAATTTCCTAGATACCGTAATTAATTAATGTTGTGTGCACATGCATAATTAACTAGTATCTTTTGAGGATTAAGTGAATAAAGCCTCTAGAAAATACTCTGGCAGCGCTTGTTATATATAAAGTGCAGTGTCAGTATTGAGCTGGTATATGAAGGCACTCAGTAAATATGCATGGAACCCAATTGAAAGCACACAGATTGATGTGGCTGCAATGGTGGCTTCAGATAATCTCCTTAGCCTGATCTGGGACCAGTTACTGACCTGTGTGTTCATTGGTAGTAGTGAATCTCTAGATGATGATTCTCTAGATGATGATAACATCTCTTATGTGGTGTTTTAYAGATTATTTTCTCATGAGATGATCCCAGTCCAATAGCCAACTTTGGGAACAAACAGCAAATATCATTTCCATTTCATGAAAGAAGCAGCTTAGGCACAAAAGTTAAATATCCTGAATAACTAATGGCAGAAACATGAGTAGAATATGAGCCTCCTGTTTCCCAACCTCTGGCTCGAGCTACCTATCTGTTCATCCCAGTTTGTGCTACCAGTGAAAGTAGGATAAATGACCCATGGCAAGATAAGAGTGTTTAAACCACAGTGGCTCCTTTAAGTGGGCTGAACACCCTCAACTTGCAAGTTGCAACACCTTCATTAAAATGGTTGGATTTGGTGGCAAAGTAGTTCACCCAGAGTAGTTTCTCTAGCTTCCTCCAAATTGGAGCTAGCTTGGGCCATCTCATGTACAGTGACCCAATGGTGGCTTGCTCCTTTTGGAAGATATGATTTGCTTCTCAGATTTGTCCCTTTTCTCCCTCTGAGGTAAGGAGAGGGTGTTGAGCCTCAAGGGTGAGTAACACAGAGCCCTAAA